GATCTGCGAGATAGTTTGGTTAGAGATAGGATTGTATGTGGAATAGAGGACACTAAAGTAAGAGATAGGTTGCTAAGAGAGCCTCAATTAGATTTGACAAAATGTGAGAATATTTGTAGAGCGTCGGAGTTAGCCGAGCATCAATCAAAAAAGCTAGAAATTGAGACAAATGTTAATATTTTGAAGAAAGCACAAAAATCGGGACAATACAGAGAGTTTACTTCACAAAAAGATCAATATGAAGCCCGAAATCAAAGTGGAAATAGCTTTAGAACAAACTCAGAAAATAGAGTTGATAAAAAACAATGTGGCAATTGTGGATATTTTCATGGTTCAAGATGAATACAGAAGGCAATGAAAAAAATGTAACAAGTTTTGTCATTTTCAAAAGTACTGACGTGAAAAAAGAAACATGACTCAAAATGTATATTCAGTAGAAGCTGATGATGAAGAGCAGGAAATGTTTATAGCCACAGTTCAGAAAGTAGGACAAGTAGGTTTAGTTGGCTGGATGCAAAAAGTAATGTTCAATAATAAGGAAATTTGTTTCAAAATTGACACTGGTGATGATGTTAATGTTTTGAACTTGAGGACTGCTAAAGAACTTCATGCTGAAGTTCAGTCATCCAATACAAAGCTATTGAACTATGAAGGCTCTTTAATCGGTGTTTATGGACAAACTACACTTATCGGTGAAACTAATAATAAAAAACACAATGTAGTGTTCATTGTAGTCAACTTTAATGCTCCATGCATAATTGGACCATTTATTGAGATGTTTAATCTGCTAAATAGAGTAGGATCGGTAGAACATGAAGACAAATATGTGATTGATAGTCTATTAAAAAAATACGACCATATTTTTCAAAGCATTGGTGAATTGACAAATTCATATAAAATTCAGTTGAAGAAAAAGGTAGAGCCAGTTGTAGTACCTCCAAGAAAAAATGCAATCAGCTTTCAGCAGTCAGTTAAAAGTGAGCTAGATAAAATGGAGAAAATGGGCGTTTTGAGAAAAGTGACTGAACCAACTGAGTGGTGCAGTTTTATGGTCATTGTAAAAAAGCCAGACAATAGTCTTCGAATTTGTTTAGACCCACAAAATCTGAATAAAGCCATAGTACGAGAGTGGTATCAGCTTCCAACTTTTGAGGAAATTGCATCCAAGATGGAAGGGGCAAATATTTTTTCAATACTAGACGGCAATAAGGGCTTTTATCAGATCAAGCTGCATGAAGAAAGTGAAATACTTACAACATTTAATGCTGGGTGTTATGGGCGATATTTTTATAGGAGAATGCCTTATGGACTGTGCTCTGCATCGGAAGTTTTTCATCGTACATTCAAGAATATTTTTGATGGGCTTCCAGGAGTGGAAATTTACATAGATGTTGTTATAGTCTGTGCAGCGAATAAAGAAGAACACGCCAAAACACTGGAAGCAGTGTTAGATAGAGCTAAACGTGCCAATGTTCGTTTCAATCGACTCAAGTGTAAATTCGGGTTAAGTGGAGTACGTTATATAGGTCATGTAGTTACAAAAAATGGTTTATGTCCTGGTAAAGACAAGGTGAGTGCTATTTTGCAATTAAGCAATTCAAAAAACAAAAAACTACAGATTTTGCTAGTAATGGTTACCTATGTATCTAAGCTTTTGCCCAATTTGGCGTTACCAGCTCGATGAGACAACTGCTTGAGAAAGATGTAGAGTTTATTTGGTCTGATAAAGAAACATCTGATTTTGAAAAACTTAAAAAAATACTCACATGTGCACCCGTACTAAAATATTATGATGTCAATACAGAGGTTGTTTTGTCAGTTGATAGCAGCAGCCAAGGATTGGGAGCTGTACTGTTACAGAATAATTTGCCTGTAGCCTATGCCTCTCGAGCATTGACTGCTGACCATGGGCTAAGATTGAAAAAGAATTATTGGCAATAGTGTACGGATGTGGGATTCCACCAATATGTTTATGGAAAAGTCGTGGTGGTTGAAAGTGATCATAAGCCTCTGGAAAATATATTTAAAAAGTCAGTGAATGACACACCATTGAGATTGCAGAGGCTTAGGTTGCACTTACAGCCATAGTTCGTTATAAACTTGGTAAAGATTTATTGTTGTCTGATACCCTTTCTAGGAACTTTGTAAAGACTGATATTGTTGAAAATGATGATTTAGATAAAGAAATGCACATGTTGGTATGATAATTAATGCTTTACCAATTACAAAAACCAAGTAGGTATGAAATGTTCAAGAAAGAAACATCTCTTGATCCTGATTTGTCATTGTTAATTTTCTATATCGAAACTGAATGGCCACCTTATGAAAATATTCCAGTTAATTTAAAGTAATATTATTCAATCAAAGATGAATTGTATGTAATTCATAATCTTCTTTTAAAAAATAATCTATACTCTATTTTTTCCCATGATAGATTTTGACATTGTCAACTTTGAAACAGAAACAATACCGCGTGGCTCTGATTGGTCGCAAAATGCCGTGTCCTTGCAGGTGAGGTATCCTTTTACATGGTTGAAAAACGATACCTTCATCGAATGCAGGTACACGGCATCTTGCGACCAATAACCAGCATTGTTTATGTTTCAAAGTTGTCATTGTCAAAATCTATCTTGGGAAAAAATAGACTGTAGTTGCAGTTCAAAACAGTTTACGTTCAGAAATGCTGGAATTAATTCATATAAATCATTTTGGTCTAGAAAAGTGTAAAGCTCGTGCTAAAAAGATTTTGTTTTGGCCTCATATTATGCTTGTAAAAATAGAAGATCTGGTTAAGAATTGTGAAACATGCTTAAGATTTCAAAGTACTCATACTCATGAAGAATTGCAACTGAACTGAGGGAAGTTCCTGATGGTCCCTGGCAAGTATTGGGTGTTGATTTATTTTATTTTCGTACAAAAAATTTTGTTTTGATTGTTGATTATTTCAGCAAATTTATAGAGATCATGGAATTGAAAAATGAGTCTGCAGAGGCTGTTATAACTGTTCTTAAATCCAATTTTGCCAGATACGGTATCCTGATTCTGATGGGGGACCTTAGTTTGCGAATTTCAAATTTCAAAATTTTTCAAAAACTTGGACTTTTAAGCATATAATGTCAAGTCCATACTATCCTCGTTCTAATGGTATGGCAGAAAGGCATGTGGGTATTTTTAAAACAATGCTCAAAAAGGCGGAACATAGTGGATAAGATCCGTATATTGTTTTGCTAGAATATTGGAATACCCCTATAGATTCTGACATAAATAAATATCCTAGTGAAACTATGTTTGGACGTAATTTGAATGCCTTTCTTCCAGTACCAAAAAAATTTTCACAAAATATAAGTAATGGCGAAGTAATTGTAAATAACAAAAAGGTTATTCAAAAACATTTAGAACTCTAGCAGGTTTTGAATAAGCATTATCATGACATGAGAAATCATGCTAAACCCAATTTTTTCAATAAAGAGGAGGTAGTACATATTAAAGATAATGTTAATGATATGACTGAAGCAAAAATAGTCAAGGAGGGTAATGCACTACCTTATCAGGTTCAACTTCCTACAGGCAATGTTGTGGCGAGAAATAGATTTACATTTAACATTTATAAAGCGTCGCCTAGACAGAAGTTTGAGGTGGTTGGATCTGGTTCAGATTCGCAAAGGACAGATGCGAAAGAGCAGAACTTGAACTTGACAGCATACTGGTCAATCTATAAAATTGAAAGAAACTATAAATCAGAATCTTGACCGCTCAAGTTTAGGTTTTGACCAAACTGGAGTTCTGCCAAAGGCTGGTATTTCGAGGTCTGGTAGAATTATTGAAAAACCAGAGTTTTTTAGAGATTAATTTTCTTAAGAACCTAATGTTTTTTAGATGTGTTTTTTATTTTTATAATAGTTTATGGCTTTTTATTTTTGTCAATATTATCTATAGATAATTTCTAGAGAAAGAAGGATGTCAGGTAGTTACCAGTAATATGTGGTATGACAGAGCAGGGATGACAGATATAGGACAGATTGAGTTGAGTTGAGCTTGAAATTAATCTTTGAAACTATATTTTGTTTATTCCAAATGTCCGAACCTTACAAAAACTGTCAAAAAATGCCAAAAATATGTAATTTTTGGTTCTGAATTAAATTAATGGACGTTTTTTTGTAATTAAAACACGATTTATTTACTTTAAGAATTCCAGAAAACCGGTCTTTTATCTCCGAAACTAATCATATGATCTTTTTGGGCCTACCAGAACTTACGTTCAGGAGGTCGAGAACATATTTCAACTTCATGACAATCGTGAAATTTATTTTTTCTCATAAGATCCGTGCGTGGTCCTTTGAGTGAAACAGATTTATGTTGGTCTAAACTCACAAGAACATACCAGCCTACCATGCCTTCAAATATTAATTTAATTGGTGCAATACATAAACAGGTATTAGCGATGGAAAAGTATGTGGAGGTTTTACCCCACATCAGTATATTTGGTATTTTTCTTGAACAAAATACATACACTCAATTTTAAAAGAATTTTAGGGCTTAGAATACTAAAAATAAAGATATCTCCCAAAGATCACAAAATTTCAATAGAAAACTTCCAACATTTAGGATAAGTTAATTTAATCCTTGAATGCAATCAAACTTTATTTTCTTCTTGGCTCGTTGCTCTCAGGATAAAAGTATTATCCTGTTGGTAGAAAAATGCAAAATTAGTCCAGTTTTGAATAACATTCGAGGATAGAGTAGGTACCTACTTTCATTGGATTTGCTGTTTGCATTATATATATTTTTTTTAAATTAATTTATGCATTGATAGAACTTCCTGAAAAAAAAAAACTATAGACAATCAATAAGTCCATAGAATTGGCATTGTTTTATTTTTATAAAGCCAAACAGCCGACAGCGTTGAAAATTTACATGCAATCCATATATAGGGAGAGATTATGTATTTAAAATTTGTATTGATATGGAAATGTATTTTAAATAAAATTATATTCACACAGATTAAAAATGTATAAAAGTACCAGTTGATAAAATAATGAAGAAAATAATTAAAGTGAAACCATAAAAATTGTTTCAAGGCAATCAAAACCCTTCGCCTTAACTGACCACGCCAAAAAACCTGTGCCTGACCTTATACACGACCATATTTCCCGAAAACAAGTTTTTTTTTATCCGCACGCAACAATCAATGCAACAATGCAACAATAACGAGTCGAATTTTCTATATAAACAGATGTGGCCGATATTTTCGTCAGTTTTTGGGGCGCATTTACAAGTAAAAATGGCATCGAAATTTGTTGTGTTCGCTTGTTTCGTCGCTTACGTAAGAGCTGGCGATTTGATACAGCAACCCTTGCAACCACTTGCACAAATTAGGTAAGATTTTTTTCTACGCTAATTGTTTAGTTGGGTTAGAGATTTTTAAGGATATTCTCATGGTTGCATTTTGACGGCAATTCCTCAAAATTTCAGCAAAATTGTACTTGCAGTTTTTGAAGTAGGTGAACTATTTTCAGGTGTAATTATTTAGGTAATTGTCCTATGCACATCCAGTTCAACGTTGGTAATCTAGGTATTATTTTCATCTCATTGCATTCATAGAGAGTCTCTTCCTTATAATGTTTTACAAATTATTGTACTTTCTCGACTACCATTGAAAAATAGATAATCTTGGCTGTAAATTTTATAATCAACCGTATTTATAAAAAAGTCATGCCTTGAACTTGTAGATATTTTGTATCTCATATACCTACAATAGAAGGAACCTACAGTCCATGATCCATATAAGTACAATACACTTATTAACAATTTATCTGGGATTATTAGTTCCAAATTTACCGTTTCCATGATTATGTAGGTACTAATTTACACAAAAGTCAGTGAAAGTATAATCCGACAATAGTTGATTCTCACACTTTTTTGAAAATTGTGGCATTGCCATTTCAATACATACAAATAGGGTGAGACTTCGGGTGGGTCCATGAACGGTGCTTTGTGGAACTCCATGAGATGTTTCCTTAGGTGTAGAGACTCTTCTATCGAACTTGGATAGGTACTTTCATTTTATCAAATATAAGTACTTGAAATACCTTAAGATGTATAATACTAAAGCCATATTATCTCAATGTCAGTATCAACTATTTCTGGTATTATCTCAACTACTATTGTGTCATCCAGGAATATGATCTTCCACTTCAGTCAAACGAATTCAAATAGAAGCGATTGAAAGGCAACTTCTCAAAAATGTAGTCGTCTAAGCCCACAGTAATTATTTCGAGTTTTTATCAAATAGTTCTTCATGTTCTAAGTAAAAGTACACTTCAATTGTTATGACAGAGTCCAAATTAAGATTCAATTAGAAACGGGAGCATGGATTGGTCCAATCTATATGAGGGTGTCTAATCTCGAAACCGGGGAACAGCGTTCTCATGAGAATGAAGGTTCTGTCTTAGTCCCCATATTTATATTTCCATAACAGTCATAACACTGACAAAGACAGAGCAATCATTCTCGTGAAAACGCTGTTCCCCGGTTCCGAGAATAGACACAATGATGTCGGCGCAGGGCTCTCCGGTAGGGGTTAACTGAGCCCTTACAGGTCTAGATTCTGAACCATTGCTGGGGCTTATCCCTGAAATAAGCGATGTATCTGGTTCTATTTTTTGATATCGAGCGAATTGCGGTATTCTCGTTTCGTTGTTGATCTTTCTCTAGTACAGTATGGTCTATCACAATACCAAATTGGCCTGCCATCCAGGAATTACCAGATACATTTAGATTGATCATATAATATTGCACATGTAAAGCGATTAGCACCACCTTCTTTGAAGTTTGGCGATTTTATACAAGAAGACATGAACCCTCGCCGTCATGAGAATTTCTGCAAATAAGGTTTTATTTGGTTTTGATTGCCTCGCATCTGATATTATGATAAATACACTGCGAGTATCTTTTATAATAAAAAAAGTAGAAAATGTATTGTGAAGTATATTATATTCAAGGATTATGCTCTAAGTTTATTTGCCTAATTTCTTTCAGATACGCTCCTACCGCACCAATAATATCAAAATCTACGATTTACCATACAGCAGCTCCAGCACAAGCAATCGCCTATCACGCTCCTGCGCCACTTGCCTACCAAGCACCTGCACCTCTAGCTTACCACGCGCCTGCCCCTATCGCCTACCAAGCACAAGCTCCCTTAGCTTACCATGCACCAGCTCAATTAGCTTACCACGCTCCAGCTCAACTGGCATACCACGCACCTGCTCCATTAGCTTACCACGCACCTGCTCAACTAGCTTATCATGCACCTGCACCTTTAGTAAAACAAATCAGCCCAGCAGCTTTCAGCTACGCACCTACAATTTCCTATTCAGCGCCTTTAGTGAAAGCCGTTTCGCATGGTCCGGCCGTAATTTCATCTCAAGCACCTGCTTTGGTTAAAGCTGTAGCACCTGCATTGGTTAAGGTAAAAAAATACTCGAGAACTCGTTGAAGCAAATAATAAGAAAAACATATTTGTTTTAGGCACAACCAGCTGAAGAGTACGATCCAAACCCACAATATTCTTTCGGTTATGATGTACAAGACAGTTTGACTGGCGACGTTAAGAGCCAAAGCGAAACAAGAAATGGAGATTCGGTAAGTCTATTGTGTTAAAATTTGATATTCAAATTGAACACTAACAATAATTATTGTTAATGTGCCTATATGAGCTTCAAATTAATTGACTTTAGCAAATAACAGCTTCAAATCCCGAATAGGTCATTAAAGCAATTATTGATAATTATTACTAAATCAAATCGAACATTTAAAATTGGCTCTGAGCGAGTGTTTTTATTACCATCTATAGTTTAATTATTGAATCAATTATCAGATCATATTATATGCGTACTGCAAAATGAAGGTTTTTTATGTTTTAAAATATTGTCATGCTTTGAAGTTAATTGCCTCTATCATCATCTCTTCCGCGTGAATAGTGTTTATTGTTCAATCAAACTTATGGTAATTCTTGATTATCATAAGATCATTTTGTACAATTTGAACTTTTCCTTATTATATTCTTTTCCGATTGTTCTAGGTTCAAGGTAGTTACTCCCTTAACGAACCTGATGGTACCAGAAGAATCGTAGACTACACCGCTGACCCAGTCAACGGATTTAACGCAGTGGTTAGAAAAGAACCGCAGGTTCAAAAAGCCATCATTGCTCAGCCAGCTAAAATTGCTGCTCCCTTACCATTGGCGGCTGCTCATTACGCCGCACCTTTAGCAGCTTACCACGCACCTGCGCAAGCTATTATTGCACATTAATTTCAACTCGTTTTATATAAGAAAACTAAATAATATTGAATCAATTTTTGTTTATAAAGTATTTTGAACAATATTCTATTGTTCTTGCAAAATTATTCATTTACTTTGATTAGGAATTTGTGCTGTTGTGGTTGTTCTATCTGAGAAACAGCCAAAGGTATTGCTGGTGTCTCAATAGTAGAAGCTTTTTGATGTGACAAATTTATTTATTATATCTGGTTGAATTTCATATACTTGCTTCATATTTCGTTTTCAATAATATTTAGTTTTCCTGGTAGTTTGAACACACTACAACTTCAATTGAAGGAAATCAAATCTAAAAAGAATTTTTAGTGTTTTTTGTTTTAATTGAAGTTTTCGATGATTTTTCTTTACGCTTCGTTTTGTAAATTATTTCGCAATAACTATTGTATATTATTTTTACAGTTGTATGAGACTGAAAATGTGATCAAATGAATTAATAAAAAAAAAAATCCAATGCATTTTGGTGTTTTGCTTTGGAATGTACCTATCCTTTTGTTTTTATGGTGAAACGCGTTGAACTAACCGAAACAAATCTATTTACCGGGAATTAAAGATAAATTAATTAACAAAATATAAACGCAACAAATGCCACTTGACTTATGACATTTCTAAATTGACTACATAGAAAATAGCGATACATCAATATTTAACAACATGTCACTCCTCCTACAATGATGTTGGCTAATAGTGGATTATCTCTCTGAATTGCCGCTTACGCATCTTGTCATGGTAGTAAAGGACCGCCCGTCAAGGAACATCTTCAAATTGCCGCAAGTGGAAGAAGCCTCAGTGTGGTAGACAGATGGCTTGAAGCTAATGGAGGTAGTCAGCTTGAGAATGAATGAACCAAACTTCAAATAATTTTAAGCAAAAGGGAATCGCCCACACTATCTCAAGCCTAAACACTTTTGTTATAAATGTTTCTGTTCCTGTATACGCATGCTTCGTAGACTATGAAAAAGCGTTTGACAGGGTACAACATGAGAAGCTCATGAAAATTCCCAAGGATGTAGGCCTAGAAGATAGAGACCTCAAGATAATCGCAAATCTCTACTGGAATAAGACTACACACATATCAAGGTAAGTCAACAAATGTCTGATGAAGTACGGATAAAAATAGGTGTCCGGCAGGGTTGCATCCTTCCACCATTATGTTTTATAATTTATTCAAACAAAATATTTTAAAAAGCATTAGAAGACAGCACTGAGGGAATTTCTATCGGCGTGAACATTAGGAATCTTCGGTATGCGGACGATACGGTTTTAATCGCTGATTCTCTGGAAGGTCTTTGGATTAAAATTGAACTTGATTGAATTTCGAGGTTATGTTACAACAAAGTACAGCTGATTTGAAAAACTCAAAGAAAATTTGTAAATTTTGTAAAAAAAAGTAGTTTTTTCGTTGGATTGTGGTGTTTGCGAGACCAGTTTCCACCCCAGTTGTGGGATACAGGCGGGGGTTGCAAATAGCGACAACAAAGTAATCTGTTGTCCAAGTCGTGAAAAAAGTGAGGCTAGAACCATGGATGAAAAGCAAATGAAAAGCCTGCTGGAAAAAACTTTTGCCAACCACTTTGCTCCTTTTAAGCTCAGTATTGAAAAAGAAATGAGTGAACTGAAAAATGCTATGCAGTTCTTATCCGACAGCTTTGAAGACCAAAAAACTGATTTCAAAAAAAACCCTTGAAGAGGTTAAGCAGCCTAAGGAAGAAAATCATAAACTGAAAGAAAAACTAAACCAAATTGAGCAGCGGGAAAAGGAGAGAAATATAGTTGTGACTGGGATACCAAAAACAAAACGAAGAACTGAGTGAAACAATGAAGAAAATGATTAAAGCCTTGAAAGTGCCTATAAACGATGGGGACGTACAGGAAATATTTAGGGTAAATAATATCAATGAAGATGCATCAATACTGATAAAATTTAAAAGCACAACACTAAAAAATGAACTAATGACAAAAATTGAACAAATCAAGGGACTTAAACTAAATGAATGTGGCCTGTCTGGAAGCAAAGGGAGCATATACTTCAATGAAGACTTAACGAGACAAAATCAACTGCTTTTTAAAAGGGTCAGAGAAAAAAAGAAGGAAAAAAAATATTATAGAGCCTATGTGTCAAATGGGAAAGTATATCTTAAACAACAGGAAAGCGACAGACCAGTGAGAATCAAAAGTGAACTAGATCTAGATAAACTGTAACACCACAATAATTGTAAGTTAAAAAAAAAAAAAAACGTGTAACTTATTGAAACCACCTAAGCTGAAAATGGCAATTGAAAACTTGAATATGCTATATGTTAATATAAGGAGTTTAAGAAACAAAACCAATGATCTCAAAGATATATTATTGACTAGTCAAAAAACAATACATAGGTATTATAATTTTCACTGAAACCTGGCTCTACCCAAATGAACAAAGCTTTTTTAACATCACATCAAACACAGCAGTACATGATTGTCGCACAACTAAGGGAGGGGGTACAAGCATATAATATGTGAGAGATGGGATAAGCTATGTATTAAACACTAAATACAGAATATCTGCATACGATTGTAACATTATCTCCATATACTTACCTAGAGAAAAATTAACAATATACTCAGTTTATCGACAACCAAAAAATAAATGCAATCTCCTATTACCAGAACTAGATCAGTTGTTTGAAAATACATTTAAACAACTTACGCAACTAATTAATGAAACAAAAAAGCTATGTACAAAGAGAATACAAATCAAAATAAGAAATAATAACGAGTGGATGACAAATGAATACATTCAGAAAATGAAACAAAGAGATAAACTTTATGTAAGATGGAGAAAAATACAAAACGAGTTCACAGAAAGGGAGTTTAAACACGCGAAAAATTAGTTAAATAAATTAAGAATAAAACTACATGCAGAAACAAAATTTACAGAGACACAAGGTGACAGTAGGAAAGCTTGGAAAATAATTAATGATCTGTGTAGTAAAGGCTCAATTAAAAACCAAAAAATTCACAAAATTGTTTACAAAGATGGAAACATTCGATAATGACCAAAAAATTGCAGAGACAATGAATCAGCACTTTTGGCAGCAACAATTGGACATGTATTAGCCTTAAAAATACAACAAACTCCTGGAGTGAACTTTGAACAAGAAGATGTGGAAGAGAGCATAACATTAGGAAACACATACCTATCAGAAATGGAGGAAATAATAAAAGATATGAAAAACCACTCTGCCCCAGGAATGGATGAAATAACAAAGAAGGACATAGAAACACTCATAGACATCATAGGACTAAAAATAGTGCAATTAATGAATAATGTAATAGAGAATGGCTGCTTCCCAGAAGAACTCAAATTATCTAAAATAATACCTTTACATAAGAAAGGTGAACACGACAACATGAATAACTATAGGCCGATATCACTTTTAAGCACATTCAGTAAAATGCTTGAAAAAATAATCAAAATAAGACTCGTGAATTTCATAGATGCAACATTTCAATTTGATAAAAGTCAATATGGCTTCCAAAAGCAGAGTAATTGTAGATCTACTTAAATACATTACAAGTGAGCTCAATGAGAACAGATATGTAGTAGCAGTGTTTATCGACCAACAGAAAGCGTTTGATATAGTGGACATTGGTTTGCTTTTGAAAAAATTTAAAAAAATGGGATTTCGGGGAAAATGCCATGACTTATTAAACTCATATTCTACAGGAAGAAGGCAACAAACATATGTTAATGGTGCAATGAGTGATGAAGCGAGCGTAGGCATAGGAATTGCTCAAGGATCGGTCTTGGGTCCGCTTCAATATTTGTTGCATGTCCAAAGCCCTAAATATGCAGGGTTAAAAGCAAAATACTATAAATTTTGTGAAGACACAGTTTTAATTTTCTCAGGTGTAGAAAAAAATGAACTTAAACAAAAAATAAACATTGATCTTGGTCGATACAATGCGTGGCTGTGTTACAATAAATTAACCATTAATGTGGAAAAGACTGTCTGCATGGTGTTGAATCAAGTGGGGAAGAAACCAATAAATCCCATAATAAAAATCAACGACTGCATACTCAAAAAAGTTGAACAGTATAAATATCTAGGCCTAATAGTGACAGATAATCTAACTTGGAATGTCCATGTAAACAGTATTTTACAAAAAGTGGCTCCAATGTTAGGTGCAATACGGTGGTGCAATTAATATGCTAAGCAAAAACGCTAGATACCTTTTATATAATGGCTTTATCGAACCCCATCTACGATATCTCATTCCGTGTTATGGAAATGCCAGTAATGAAGTAATGAAAAAATTGCAAAGATTGCAAAATAAAGCAATAAAAGTTATATTTGGAAAAAAATATAATACACCAAGTCACACGTTATATAAAGATTATCCATTCCTAAAACTAGAAACACTAAAACACTTGGAACAAACGAAACTTATATATAAAATACAGAATACTTAGACTTATAAAAACGATTATACAACTAAAGCAGAATAAAGACTATCATAGTTACAACCTACGTACCAAAGAAAGACTTTTCAAGAACAAAAAAAGGTCAGGACTCTCCTATTTTTCAGAGTATACGTACCTATAATACTATACCAAAGACAGTGCTTGAAGGATGTGAGAAAATTGTGTACCATAGCCTAAAGAAGTTTTTGAGGGACAGAGACAATAACTGATCGACAGTGGTAAAAAAGTGTAAAAAAACATGCCTAAATTCAAATTGTTATTATTGTTAATTTTGTTGTTTTTCTGTTACTTTAATGTAAATTGAAGGCCTCGGTGCCAGATTAATTGTAATCTGATTAGAGGTCAGAAATAAAATAAATATATACATATAAAAAAAAAAAAAAAAACTAAATGGATAGTGATAAGTTAGAACCAGCTTGGAGGCGGTATTCTTCAGGTACAGAACCAATAGATCAATCGGAATCAGAATCAGAGTATCTTTATTTTGAAGAAACATACAAAAGAGGATATAAAAAACATCAATTATTGCTTAACTAAAAAGGGTCCAATCATACAGATACCTAGGATGTCAGGTTAATGAAGACTGGGATAATATGCAGGAGGTTCGTGCCAGGATTGAACAAGCCAGAGCATCATTTGTTAAAATGAAGTCCGTGTTGTGCAATCGAGTTCTGTCGATCTGCGTTTGCACTCGAGTACCAACTACGTTGCTACGTCTTCAGTATTGTCTATTATGGGATTGATGCGTGGACTCTGACAGACGCCATGTGTAAAAAGCTAGAGGATTTTGAAATGTGGATATATAGACGGATGATACAAATATGTTGGACGGACAGAGTGCGCAATGAAGATGTGGTAACGAGAATGTCAATAGACCTGGAAGATATGGTTACGCTCAAAAAGCGAA